TGTGTGAAGGGACATGGGTGAAAGGGAATGTGTGAAGGGACATGGGTGAAAGGGAATGTGTGAAGGGACATGGGTGAAAGGGAATGTGTGAAGGGACATGGGTGAATGGGCATGTGTGAAGCGATATGGGTGAAAGGGAATGTGTGAAGGGACATGGGTGAAAGAGAATGTGTGAAGGGACATGGGTGAAAGGGAATGTGTGAAGGGACATGGGTGAAAGGGAATGTGTGAAGGGACATGGGTGAATGGGCATGTGTGAAGCGACATGGGTGAATGGGCATGTGTGAAGCGACATGGGTGAATGGGCATGTGTGAAGCCACATGGGTGAAAGGGAATGTGTGAAGGGACATGGGTGAAAGAGAATGTATGTGAAGGGGCATGGGTGAAAGGGAATGTGTGAAGGGACATGGGTGAAAGAGAATGTGTGAAGGGACATGGGTGAATGGGCATGTGTGAAGCGACATGGGTGAAAGGGAATGTGTGAAGGGACATGGGTGAAAGAGAATGTGTGAAGGGACATGGGTGAATGGGCATGTGTGAAGCGACATGGGTGAATGGGCATGTGTGAAGCGACATGGGTGAATGGGCATGTGTGAAGCCACATGGGTGAAAGGGAATGTGTGAAGGGACATGGGTGAAAGGGAATGTGTGAAGAGACATGGGTGAAAGGGAATGTGTGAAGGGGCATGGGTGAAAGGGAATGTGTGAAGGGACATGGGTGAAAGGGAATGTGTGAAGGGACATGGGTGAAAGGGAATGTGTGAAGGGACATGGGTGAAAGGGAATGTGTGAAGGGACATGGGTGAATGGGCATGTGTGAAGCGACATGGGTGAATGGGCATGTGTGAAGCGACATGGGTGAAAGGGAATGTGTGAAGGGGCATGGGTGAAAGGGAATGTGTGAAGGGACATGGGTGAAAGGGAATGTGTGAAGGGACATGGGTGAAAGGGAATGTGTGAAGGGACATGGGTGAAAGGGAATGTGTGAAGGGACATGGGTGAAAGAGAATGTGTCAAGGGACATGGGTGAAAGGGAATGTGTGAAGGGGCATGGGTGAAAGGGAATGTGTGAAGAGACATGGGTGAATGGGCATGTGTGAAGCGATGTGGGTGAAAGGGAATGTGTGAAGGGGCATGGGTGAAAGGGAATGTGTGAAGGGACATGGGTGAAAGGGAATGTGTGAAGGGACATGGGTGAAAGGGAATGTGTGAAGGGACATGGGTGAAAGGGAATGTGTGAAGGGACATGGGTGAAAGGGAATGTGTGAAGGGACATGGGTGAAAGGGAATGTGTGAAGGGACATGGGTGAAAGGGAATGTGTGAAGGGACATGGGTGAATGGGCATGTGTGAAGCGACATGGGTGAATGGGCATGTGTGAAGCGACATGGGTGAATGGGCATGTGTGAAGGGGCATGGGTGAAAGGGAATGTGTGAAGGCGCATGGGTGAAAGGGAATGTGTGAAGGGACATGGGTGAAAGGGAATGTGTGAAGGGACATGGGTGAAAGGGAATGTGTGAAGGGACATGGGTGAAAGAGAACGTGTCAAGGGACATGGGTGAAAGGGAATGTGTGAAGGGGCATGGGTGAAAGGGAATGTGTGAAGGGACATGGGTGAAAGGGAATGTGTGAAGGGACATGGGTGAAAGGGAATGTGTGAAGGGACATGGGTGAAAGGGAATGTGTGAAGGGACATGGGTGAATGGGCATGTGTGAAGCGACATGGGTGAATGGGCATGTGTGAAGCGACATGGGTGAATGGGCATGTGTGAAGCCACATGGGTGAAAGGGAATGTGTGAAGGGACATGGGTGAAAGAGAATGTATGTGAAGGGGCATGGGTGAAAGGGAATGTGTGAAGGGACATGGGTGAAAGGGAATGTGTGAAGGGACATGGGTGAAAGGGAATGTGTGAAGGGACATGGGTGAAAGGGAATGTGTGAAGGGACATGGGTGAAAGGGAATGTGTGAAGGGACATGGGTGAAAGGGAATGTGTGAAGGGACATGGGTGAAAGGGAATGTGTGAAGGGACATGGGTGAATGGGCATGTGTGAAGCGACATGGGTGAAAGGGAATGTGTGAAGGGACATGGGTGAAAGAGAATGTGTGAAGGGACATGGGTGAAAGGGAATGTGTGAAGGGGCATGGGTGAAAGGGAATGTGTGAAGGGACATGGGTGAAAGGGAATGTGTGAAGGGACATGGGTGAAAGGGAATGTGTGAAGGGACATGGGTGAAAGGGAATGTGTGAAGGGACATGGGTGAATGGGCATGTGTGAAGCGACATGGGTGAATGGGCATGTGTGAAGCGACATGGGTGAATGGGCATGTGTGAAGCGACATGGGTGAATGGGCATGTGTGAAGCCACATGGGTGAAAGGGAATGTGTGAAGGGGCATGGGTGAAAGGGAATGTGTGAAGGGACATGGGTGAAAGGGAATGTGTGAAGGGACATGGGTGAAAGGGAATGTGTGAAGGGACATGGGTGAATGGGCATGTGTGAAGCGACATGGGTGAATGGGCATGTGTGAAGCGACATGGGTGAATGGGCATGTGTGAAGCCACATGGGTGAAAGGGAATGTGTGAAGGGGCATGGGTGAAAGGGAATGTGTGAAGGGACATGGGTGAAAGAGAATGTATGTGAAGGGGCATGGGTGAAAGGGAATGTGTGAAGGGACATGGGTGAAAGGGAATGTGTGAAGGGACATGGGTGAAAGGGAATGTTTGAAGGGACATGGGTGAAAGGGAATGTGTGAAGGGACATGGGTGAAAGGGAATGTGTGAAGGGACATGGGTGAAAGGGAATGTGTGAAGGGACATGGGTGAAAGGGAATGTGTGAAGGGACATGGGTGAATGGGCATGTGTGAAGCGACATGGGTGAAAGGGAATGTGTGAAGGGACATGGGTGAAAGAGAATGTGTGAAGGGACATGGGTGAAAGGGAATGTGTGAAGGGGCATGGGTGAAAGGGAATGTGTGAAGGGACATGGGTGAAAGGGAATGTGTGAAGGGACATGGGTGAAAGGGAATGTGTGAAGGGACATGGGTGAAAGGGAATGTGTGAAGGGACATGGGTGAATGGGCATGTGTGAAGCGACATGGGTGAATGGGCATGTGTGAAGCGACATGGGTGAATGGGCATGTGTGAAGCGACATGGGTGAATGGGCATGTGTGAAGCCACATGGGTGAAAGGGAATGTGTGAAGGGGCATGGGTGAAAGGGAATGTGTGAAGGGACATGGGTGAAAGGGAATGTGTGAAGGGACATGGGTGAAAGGGAATGTGTGAAGGGACATGGGTGAATGGGCATGTGTGAAGCGACATGGGTGAATGGGCATGTGTGAAGCGACATGGGTGAATGGGCATGTGTGAAGCCACATGGGTGAAAGGGAATGTGTGAAGGGGCATGGGTGAAAGGGAATGTGTGAAGGGACATGGGTGAAAGAGAATGTATGTGAAGGGGCATGGGTGAAAGAGAATGTGTGAAGGGACATGGGTGAAAGGAAATGTGTGAAGGGACATGGGTGAAAGGGAATGTTTGAAGGGACATGGGTGAAAGGGAATGTGTGAAGGGACATGGGTGAAAGGGAATGTGTGAAGGGACATGGGTGAAAGGGAATGTGTGAAGGGACATGGGTGAAAGGGAATGTGTGAAGGGACATGGGTGAATGGGCATGTGTGAAGCGACATGGGTGAAAGGGAATGTGTGAAGGGACATGGGTGAAAGAGAATGTGTCAAGGGACATGGGTGAAAGGGAATGTGTGAAGGGGCATGGGTGAAAGGGAATGTGTGAAGGGACATGGGTGAAAGGGAATGTGTGAAGGGACATGGGTGAAAGGGAATGTGTGAAGGGACATGGGTGAAAGGGAATGTGTGAAGGGACATGGGTGAATGGGCATGTGTGAAGCGACATGGGTGAATGGGCATGTGTGAAGCGACATGGGTGAATGGGCATGTGTGAAGCCACATGGGTGAAAGGGAATGTGTGAAGGGGCATGGGTGAAAGGGAATGTGTGAAGGGACATGGGTGAAAGAGAATGTATGTGAAGGGGCATGGGTGAAAGGGAATGTGTGAAGGGACATGGGTGAAAGGGAATGTGTGAAGGGACATGGGTGAAAGGGAATGTTTGAAGGGACATGGGTGAAAGGGAATGTGTGAAGGGACATGGGTGAAAGGGAATGTGTGAAGGGACATGGGTGAAAGGGAATGTGTGAAGGGACATGGGTGAAAGGGAATGTGTGAAGGGACATGGGTGAATGGGCATGTGTGAAGCGACATGGGTGAATGGGCATGTGTGAAGCGACATGGGTGAATGGGCATGTGTGAAGCGACATGGGTGAAAGGGAATGTGTGAAGGGACATTGGTGAAAGGGAATGTGTGAAGGGACATGGGTGAATGGGCATGTGTGAAGCGACATGGGTGAATGGGCATGTGTGAAGCGACATGGGTGAATGGGCATGTGTGAAGCGACATGGGTGAATGGGCATGGGTAACTGGGCATGGTTAGTGGGCATAACACTCACCACATGTGCCATGTGTCCCAGAGCCTGCCGACAGCAGCAGCCCACAACAAGGTGATCCTCGGGGGTGCGAGGGGGGTTGTGAGGGGTAAGTGGAACCCCCACCCTCCTTTCCTCCTGCCCACACCCACCCCCCTCTCCTCCTCTCATCTGGCCACGGCAACCCTCCTATGCAGATAGCCAGCAGCAGCACCACGCACTTAACAACTCTAACCCTTCCTCTCACCTCCCATCCATACCTTACCCTCCTCTTTCCCACCCTCCCCAGGCGCCTTTTCCCCTCCCCGTTGGGTGCAAGCACTGGGCGCAATGTACATTTGGCCTTTCCACTGCGTACCCTACCCCACCCCACCATGCGCCATCCACCAGCATCTCCCCCCGCTCAACCTGCCCCACACACCTCCTCCACAGCAGCTGCCACCACCACACACCTGCATCTCCAGTGCCACCCCTCATTACCCCACCCTCACCTCCCCTCACCACCCTCCCCTCATCCCCCTCTCCTCACCTGCCCCACTCACCTCCTCCACGTTAGGCGCCAGCACCACACACTTGGCCCTCCCACTGCGCACCGCCTGCCCCACCTCCTTCAGCCCTGCCAGCACGCGGTGCCGCATTGCTCCCTGTGAGCGGCGCGGGGAAGGAGGGAGGGATGAGAAAGAGGGAGTTCTTTTCAGTCCCATACAGCCCTTCCCATCTGCTTCAGCACTACGTTGGCAGATACGAGTATCACGTATAATACGCTAGCGTATTATACGCTGGGTATATACGCGGTACGCTAGGGGTGGCGTACTGGTGATACGTAAAAATACGCCGGGCGGGCAGGTAAAACTTTTTTCCCGGGCAGGGCTAAAAAAACCTGTTTCAGGGGGGCGGGTTATGTTTCCCAAAAACACATGTTTTTTAATTTCATAATTATCCAGAGATACATCTTTGGGGCTACTTCTCCCCACCCCATACATCCCCACCCCACCCTCTAGCTAGCCTCCACACAGCCGAGTTCCTTGCGGGGCTTTTCCAACACCACCCCTGCCCCATACTCATCCGCCAGAACTGCATCCTCTCCTTCCCCCCCCAGGGCGATATGCGACTGCGCGGTAACAAATCGCCAAGTCGCAAAACCTTCGCGAAATTTTTCAATTTCGATTTTTTTTTTTCGGCGGGCTGCCCGGGCGTATTTCCAAGAAATACGAGCGTATTAGCGTACCACGTATATACGTGGTACGCAACCCTGCCCAGGGCGTATCTGCCAACGTAGCTTCAGCACAGCCAACACACGGCGCCTCATTGCTCCCTGCTCCCATCCCATGCATGTGAGGGGGCTATGAAGAATAAGGCAGGAGGGATCTCCTTCACCCTTGCACTGCCTGCCCCACCTCGTTCAGCCCTGCTAGCACGCGGCACTTCATTGCTTCCTGTGCATGGATGGTTTAAGTGAGAGGGGGTTGGGGGTTGGGGAAGGGGAGAGGATTGACCCCCTTCAGCCCCACACCGCCCGCCCCACCCCCTTCAGCCCCACACCGCCCGCCCCACCCCCTTCAGCCCCACTAGCAAACGGCACCTCATTGCTCCCTGTGCGTGGGGAAGGACGGAGTGGGGAAGAAAGGGGAGGGGGGGCTGTGGCGGGGAAGGGGACCTCCTCGAACTGCAGAAAGCTTGTATTCTCCTCCAGCCCTGCAAGCACACGGCGCCTCATCGCTCCCTGTGCGTGGAGGAGGGGGGAGGGAGGAAAATGGGAGGATCTCCTTCAGCCTTGCATTGCACTGCCTGCCGTCCTGCTGCCCCATCGCTCTCTGTTCCCAGCCATGTGTTGGCGGCCAAAGGCGGATGGGAATGGATGGTGATGTGGAGGGGGGAGTGGGGGTGAGGGGGAGGGGGAAGGGGGACGTGGAAGGGGAGGGGGCATGGGGAGAGGGGAGGAGGCACGCCTTCTGCCCCAACCGCAGTGTGGCAGTTACTGCAGTGCAGGGTGGTTGCATTGCAATTGCACCGCCAGGGCTAGCCTTGAGGGCCTTTTCAGAAAGCTGGAAAAGGGACTCGCCTTGAGCAGGTTCTGTTGGAAAGGCCCTCGGGTGGTTCGATCCTGCTGGACGCGTTGTGACAGCGACTCACCTGGAGGGGGGCTCACCTGGAGGGGGGCTCACCTGGAGGGGGGCTCACCTGGAGGGGGGCTCACCTGGAGGGGGGCTCACCTGGTGGAGGGGGTCTTTTTGGAACGCCATGACTTGGGATCACAGCACGCCCGTTTCCTCCCAGGCTTCTGAGCTGGACCCACCTCGAGGGAACATCACCTACAAGGAGACTTGCCTTTGATTGGGCCTTTCTGAAGCGCCCTGACTCGGAATCACAGCCGCTCCAGCCTCCACCAGCAGCGCGTTGAGCTCGGGTGTGACCACCTGGGGGGCGTACCTGGGGGGCGAAAGATGGGGCATAGGGGGATGGAGGGGAGTGGAAGGGAAGAAAGGGGCATGGATGGATGGATTAGCAGCTGTTGAGATCTGGTGTCACCACCTGGTGGGCGTACCTGGGGAATAGAGGGGCGGGGCGGGGATAGGGGAAAAGGGGGTTAGAGAAGGAAGGGAGGGAGAGAGGTGGGAGTGGGGACAGCAGTGGGATCGCAGCAGCTCCACCAGCAGTACAGCCACCGGAGTGACCACCTGGTGGGCGTGCCTGGGAGGGAAAGGGAAATGGGAGGGGAGAGAGGGGGCAGATGGGGAGAGAGAGAGAGAGAGAAAGACAGCAGGGAGGGGTGGGAGGGAGGAAAAGGCGTTGGGTCAGCAGTGCAGCCAATAATGCAGGTGCACGGCTTACGACGTCATGGCCCATTAGTGGTGTTTGTGGGCTGGAGTTCGGATTGGTGTTGGTGATCGGTAGCAAGTGGTCAGCTCACTACCTCACCCGCTGCTTGCCTCACCTGCTGCTTGCCTCATCTGCTGCTTGCCTCACCTGCTGCTTGCCTCCTCGCCAATGTATGGCTGATTTTGACTTTTTTTTGCAGGGTGTTTTTTGGGTTGACTAAAGTTTCATCATGGTGGGTTTGTGAATAATCAGAAACTCCTCGCCTCACCTGCTGCATGCCTGCTCGTCGCCTCAGCAGTCAGCTGAGCTCGCCTCACCTGCTTTGGGTGTTCTTAAGTCGACTCCAATGCTCCTCGCCCCACCAGCTGCATGCATCCACGCCGGTGGTCAGCTGAGTTTGCCTTTTTGGCTTTGCTTCTCTTCCCCTCCCTTCTCTTCCCCACACTTCTCCTCCCCTTCCTTCTGCTCCCCTCCCTTCCCCTCCCCTCCCTTCGCTCCTCCCTTTCTCCTCCCTCGCTTTCGCCTCCCCACCCGCCTCCCATCCACCTGCCCCTCATTCACCCGCCCTCCCCTAACCTTACCTTCCCCTCTTCCCCTCCTGACCCTACTCTTGACTCTCCCACCCCCACCGCTGTGCCAGCGCACCCCCCTTCACGCCTCTCATGCTCCACCCATCCCGTGCCCCTCCCATGCCTGTCCTCCGTCCCGCCCTCCCCTAACCTTACGCACCCCACTCGCCTCCCTGAGCTGTCCCTCCCCTCTGTCCCCTCGCTCCATTTCCACCACACCCAAACCACACGCGCCCGCATCCCCCCTTCCCCCTCCCCTCCCTGCGCCTCCCCTCCCCCGCTCCGCCTCCCTCCGCTCCGCCTCCCTCCGCTCCGCCTCCCTCCGCTCCGCCTCCCCTTCCCGCTCCGCGCGGCCGCTCGTCACCGCTGCCCCCATATGCGCTATCCCTGCACTGGTGCGCACTGGCGTGGACTCTCGCGGAGGCGGCGGTAGAGGCGTGCGTGTGCGCAGCGGGCGGCGAGTAAGTGGTCCAGGCGGAGCGCGACGGGCGCTGGATTCCACCGCCTCGTCGCGCCGCCGCCGCCCGCCGCTGCTTCGGCAGTCGCCGCCGGCGGGAGCCCCGCCTGCGCGCCCGTGTTTGCCCTATCCCCCCATTGCTGCTGCTCCTCGCGCTTCTGCTGTCGCAGCTCTCCGCCATCGCGAATCGGCTCTTCTCGCTCTCGTCGCCTACTCTTCCATTTTCGCCGTTGACCACTCGCGGTTTCGTCGCCGTCCGCCGCTCTCTCGTCGCCCTGTGTGTCGCTTCGACGCTACCGCTATCGAGTCACTATCAGACGTCCCACTGTTGCCTTACCAGCTCTCATCTACTGATCCTGACCGCGGGTCCTGTGCACACCTCCTACTGACCCTAGCCAATGTTTGCCAAGTGGTGGCGTGACGCAATTTAGGCCAATTCGAAATATCGAACTGTTATCAGTGCGAGGTTCTTACAAGCTAGGAAACTACTAACTGAATGTCCTTCGAGTTTAAAAAACGAGGGTAAAATAGGCAGAGCCGAGCTAGGCGAGAATCGCGGAACGAGGCTCGGGTTTTGGCGAAAGGTGCGGGGCGGCTCGGAAGTGGTTCGGGACGCAGATGTAGGCCGAACCAGCTGACGCGAACTCCTCGGACCATTCATTTTTGTGTAAGCTTACTGTAGAAATTATATTTCTTCACAATAACTTAGCAGAATAAATTATATTTCTCTACCATATCGTTTTGTGAATACCAGTAATGTTTTTTTTTTTTTTCAGCAAATGCTACGTCAACAACTTGACAGTACACCGCATACGAGCCTAGGTATTGCAGTAAAATTACGAAATCTATAGATATTATAGATACATTATTTTACATTATATTAAGAGAGGAGCACACAACAAAACATAACTGCCCAAATTGCCTGGATTATTTCCTTGGTAATACTCTGCCAAATTACCCCGTATTTTCCTGCAGCGAGTTTGGCCCTATAAAGAACACTCTGTGCCCCATCACTCTCCAGTCGACCCCTGCAAACGTGTGCCTTCACCTCCCCCTCCCTCATGCCCATCCCCTCTCTCCATTACCTTCTGCCTCCTGCCACGCCCCCTCCGGCCATAACTGCCTCTGCCAGATCGGTCCTCACCAGGCAGCGCGCCTTGTGAAAGGGACATACAAGAGACAAGAAAGAGACATGACATACGGTAGGCAGAAAGAAGGTGGGAGTCAGGCCAATGAAAGCACGCTCCGCCTGCCCCTCCTGCTACAGCTCTCTCCGCCACTCCGCTTGCCCTTCTTGCAAAAGCTGCCTTCCCAGTTGTGCCTCCACCAGCCAACCCCTAAGTCGGGGCAATGCAGTGAAAGCAAGAGATGAGGAGACGGGCACTGCAGCAGGCACAGCCCCAATTTCGCCAAGAATGGCTACAGCATTCGTGCGGCAGCACGGGCAGGTCAAGGCCTGAGAGGAATGAACGGGAAGAGACTTGGAGAGGGTGAGGGCAATGTGGCAGGGCAGCCAGCTGGAAGCCAACAGGGCGGGAGGTTACCATGTAATTTTACCATGTGGGGTTACCATTTGAGGTTACCAGATGAGGTTACCATTTGAGGTTACCATATGAGGTTACCATTTGAGGTTACCATATGAGGTTACCATTTGAGGTTACCATATGAGGTTACCATTTGAGGTTACCATGTGAGGTTACCATTTGAGGTTACCATTTATGGTTACCATTTGAGGTTACCATCTCCGCTTACCATTTGAGGTTACCATATGAGGTTACCATGTGATATAACCACAGTTGATAGCCAAACAGAAAGCACTGAACTAGGAGAGCGTGCACTCATCATAGCAAGGTAGCACCAGGAGAAAGCCATAACTGTCCACCAACACCCCTAACCAGCCAAAGGCTAACCGGCCAAAGGCTAACCGGCCAAAGGCTAACCGGCCAAAGGCTAACCGGCCAAAGGCTAACCGGCCAAAGGCTAACCGGCCAAAGGCTAACCGGCCAAAGGCTAACCGGCCAAAGGCTAACCGGCCAAAGGCTAACCGGCCAAAGGCTAACCGGCCAAAGGCTAACCGGCCAAAGGCTAACCGGCCAAAGGCTAACCGGCCAAAGGCTTACCGGCCAAAGGCTAACCGGCCAAAGGCTAACCGGCCAAAGGCTAACCGGCCAAAGGCTTACCGGCCAAAGGCTAACCGGCCAAAGGCTAACCGGCCAAAGGCTAACCGGCCAAAGGCTAACCGGCCAAAGGCTAACCTGCCAAAGGCTAACCGGCCAAAGGCTAACCGGCCAAAGGCTAACCGGCCAAAGGCTAACCGGCCAAAGGCTAACCGGCCAAAGGCATGGTGATGGGGCATGGTGATGGGGCATGGTGATGGGGCATGGTGATGGAGCATGGTGATGGGGCATGGTGATGGGGCATGGTGATGGGGCATGGTGATGGGGCATGGTGATGGGGCATGGTGATGGGGCATGGTGATGGGGCATGGTGATGGAGCATGGTGATGGGGCATGGTGATGGGGCATGGTGATGGGGCATGGTGATCGGGCATGGTGATGGGGCATGGTGATCGGGCATGGTGATGGGGCATGGTGATGGGGCATGGTGATGGGGCATGGTGATGGGGCATGGTGATGGCTCACGGCTGATAGCGCCAGAGAATTACGATGATGAGAGTGGTGATGTTGGCAATGCGCCTGCAGAATTGGGGCTATTGGAGCAGGTAGAGAGTGGAGCGTGGAGAGGGTGGGGGTGGGTTGGGTTGGGTTGGCGAATGCTGCAAGTGGCGAGGATGTTGAAGGCACAGAAATTGAAATCAAGGGCAGCTTTCGACGAAGGATTTTGATACGGAGTTCTTGACAAGGGATTTTGGAAAGTGAGGGATGGTGGGAGAACCACCCATCTGCACCCACCCACCCTATGCACCCAACCATTAGCACCCACCCACCCACCCTGCACCCAACCATTAGCACCCGCCCACCCACCCTGCAACCACCCATTAGCACCCACCCACGCACCCATTATCACCCACCCAGCCTGTACCCATCCATCGGCACCCACCCATTAGCACGAGGGCCAGTGCAGATATAGAGGCTGTGGCCTCTGCACCGTATGTGCCCCACCCACCTGCACCATGCGTGTCCCACCCACCTGCATTTAGCTGCCCAGGTAGCAGCAGGTTGAGTGGAACGATGACAAACCCCAGCAGCCAAAGGGATTGACCAGTTTGTTTATCCCTTCATGTAACCTCTTGTGGAACAACCTTCATCACAACCAAATCACCTGAGAGAGACTGACCTGGGACTAATGTTGAGCAAAGTCCCAAACTGCAATTGTTATATGTAAAAAAAGGGTTTGACACACACCTGCACAGGAGCAGGTCGAACCGATCGGTCTGGTTTGACATAGGGTCCCGAGCCGAGCCGAACCAACAGAGGTCTGACAGCGAAGGAAACATGAGCACATAGGGCACGAATTTTGCACATTTCGGTGAGGTCCATTGGAGGGTTGCCAAACTGTTTCAGTAGGTTCAGTTTGACAAGTGGACTGGTCCGGCTTGAGAGCGGTACTTGCTCAACCTTACCTCCGACTGACCTGAGACTGACCTGGGACTGACCTGAAACTTATTAGGAGGGGCAGAGGCGGCAGGGAGGAGAGGGAACAGTGGACCACAGTGGAATCGCAGCAGCTAAGGGGTGACCACCTCGTGGGCGTGCCTGGAGTGGAGGAGCAAGGAGAGTGGGGTTGAGGACGTGTGAGGGAGGACATGGGTGTAAGGGAGGACATGGGTGTGAGGGAGGACATGGGTGTGAGGGAGGACATGGGTGTGAGGGAGGACATGGGTGTGAGGGAGGACATGGGTATGAGGGAGGACATGGGTGTGAGGGAGGACATGGGTGTGAGGGAGGACATGGGTGTGAGGGAGGACATGTCGCCAAGACAAGGCACATGGCTCACAGCTTGGTTCACAGCATGGCGCACAGCATGGCTCACAGTATGAGGCACAGCATGGCTCACAGTATGGCTCACATCATGACCTTACCCCTGCTGCTTGCCTCACCCGCTACATGCCTCCACGCCATTGTAAGTGGTCAACTGAGTGTGCCTTTTCACCGCGCTGCCTTCTTGCCCTCTCTTCACTTCACCTCCTCTCTCCTCCCCTTCCTTCTCCTCCCCTCCCTTCACCTCTCCTCCCCACACCTCCCCTCCCTTCTCCACCCCTCCTTGTCCTTTCCCTTGCAGCTTCTCTCCTCCCTTTCTCCTCCCTCGCCTTCACCTACCCACTCATTCGCCATTCACCTGCCACTCCACTCTCTCCTCCACTCCCTGCTCCTCCTCTGTCACCTCTCCCCTGCCCTCCATCCACACTCCTCGGACCCCACCCTATCCTCTCATCCTCTCCCCCTCTGGCCTCTACCGCCCCCACCGCTGTGGCAGCACACCCCACTTCACGCCTCTCATGCTCCCACCACCCCCATGCACCACACGCTCTTCTTCCTCCCTTTCTTCCTCCTCCTCTTCCCCCTTCCCCGCCCCGTCCCCGTCACAAATTCCCACCCCCACCCTCGCCCTAAACCCCAACTCCTCCTCCTCCCCCCTCCTTCGACTTCTCCCCGGCAACCCACTCCCCAGCAACCCCCTCTCCTCCCTCATTTCTTTTCTCCCCTCCCCATCCCCCACCCTCCCCTCCCCCCGCACCTGTCTCGCCAGCACCATCAGTCGTTTCAAGCGGCACACTTGCTTCTGCCCCATCTCACACCAATCTTCTCCCATGTTGCTGCGTTCACCTGCACCCGCCCCCCCTCTCGTCCTCCTCCGCGTTCCCCCCAGCTCCCCCACTCGCGGCCCCCCTTTGCACCCTTCCTTGCGCTCGCCCTCTTGTTTCTGCCGCGTGCTCTCCCCCCTTTCCCTCTATCCCGCACTTCCCCACCCCTTCGCCTGCCCATTCTCCCCTCTTCCGCCCTTCAACTCCCGCTCATGCTTTCGGTGCCACGCCTTCTCCTGCCCCTCGCCCCAATTCCGCCAAACCCAAGCCACGCGCGCCCGCATTCTCACTCCCCCTTCCCCTCCTTGCGCCTCCCCTCCCCGCTCCGCCTCCCCTGTAACACCCAAGGCTATTATAGTAGAGATTACAAGGTTTTAATAATAATCCCGGTACAAGATGGTAGCTCTAGCTAACCCCTCCAAATAGCCTTGAAGGTGTGAGTCTTGTTGAAGCCTTTGATGGGAAGCACTTGAAGAAGTTGAGTAGGAAGTTGTGTGAGAGAGCTCTCAATGACTTAGGCAAAACAATCCCATTCCCAATTGTTTAGTTTTAGTGGGAGGTTGAGAATGAGCTTGGAAACTCACTCAAACCCCCTCAATACACCCCTTTGGGAACTATCCCAACCATGGCTTCCATGGGGGGGATGGTTCCTAGGCTTGGAGCCCATGTGGCAATTGTGTTGGGTTGGAAAACCCAACTTAGAACCATTCAATGGTTGTGTTTAGGATAGAGTACATTGTAATAATTGTTTTGCAGTTTCTGATTGGTTGGAATTCCAACCTTAGTGATTTCACTTTGATGGGTTGGAATGTTCCAAGCCTCAATGTTGAGGTTTGGACAAACCTAACCAACCCTTCCTTCCCAACCCTTCCTTTCCAACCCCAACTACAATCTCCCGCAACTCAACCTTCATCGAGCTCAATCTCGATGGTTGCCTTAGGAGTGAGGTAGGTCGATAGGTAGGCGTAGGGGATGCGTTACACTCCTCCCCCCCTAGGTGGCAACGTCCCCGTTGCCCTAGGGTGCTTCTGAGGACGAGTGCTTCAAGCACGGCGCACCACATTACGACCAGGGTCAACCCTATCCACTGGTTGTGGGCCTGCTCGTAGAGCCAGGTCTTCCATATACGCTTGAACCGCTGCTTCGGTCAAGTGTTCTTCACGCTCCCATGAGTTGTGTTCCGGCCCATAGCCTTTCCACTGAATTAGGAACTCACGAACTGTTTTGCGGCTGCGTTGTCGATCATGGTGCGTTAGCACACGCTCGACTTCATAAAAGAGTTCCTCTCCGAGAACGATGGTTGGTGGTGGTAAGTACTTACCTTCAGCAACATACTTATTCAACAGAGACACGTGGAAGACGTTGTGAATCTGCAATGTCGCAAGCAACTTGAGCCTGTATGCGACCTCACCAACTCGCGCAATCACTCCGAAAGGCCCAATCCAACGAGGGAAGAGCTTTTGTGCTCCCGGGATCTTGAGACGAATATTCTTCGTACTCAGTAATACTTTGTCGCCAACTGCAAAGACGACTTCCCGGCGTTTCATGTCGGCATAGGACTTTTGCCTCTGTTGGGCAAGCTGCAACCAGTGGCGAGCGGACTTCAATGCCGCTTGCTGTTTTCCAATAAAGTCCTTTGCGGCAGGGATTTTGAGGTTCTTAATCCCATGCGTCGCAGGGGTTGTGGGGTGCTGACCACAGTTCAGGACGAAGGGTTTCTCATGAGTGCTTTCATGCACAGAATTGTTCACGGAGAATTCCACGACTGGCAACAATTCATCCCAATTATCCTGAGTTGGGCTTATGAAAGAACGAAGCATTTGCTCAAGGGTGCGGTTGGTCCGCTCTGTCTGTCCATCGTTTGTGGGTGGAAAGCAGACGACATCTTGAGTTTCGTTCCCAGTGTCTTAATGACCTCTTGCCAGAACCGGCTTGTGAAGCGCGAGTCTCGGTCAGACACCATCACACGAGGCAAACCGTGTAAGCGGAAAACGTGCGTCACAAACAACTTTGCCGTATCCTCCGCAGACACGTCAGTCGTCGTGGGCACGAAGTGCACCATTTTGGTCAAGCGATCGACAAACACCAGAATCGCCGTGCGACCATCTCGCGTCTTAGGGAGATCGGTGATAAAATCCATTGATACACTCTCCCAAGGTTCATCGGGAATCTCGAGTGGTTGAAGCAATCCACCAGGCTTCTGTGTGCTTGGCTTGTTCCGCGCACACGTGTCACAGCGAGTTACAAACTGCTGGACCTCAATGCCCAATCCCGGCCACCAGTATACATCACTGAGGGCCCACCGGGTTTTCTTGACACCCAGGTGTCCTCCATACTTAGTGGCGTGCACCTCTACGAGAATATCATTCCGCAGGTTTCCCACATGTGGGACAACAATTTCTTTCTTGTGCCACCAGAGCTCATGCTCCCACAAGAGATCCTTTGTATTCTGTGGGTTCTGAAACCAAGGGTCAATATCATACCCTGCGCGGATGCATTTCAGAAAACCACCAAAGGCAATCTCGCTCACCCGAGCAGCTGCGAGGAAAGCAGCAAACACTGCTGCATGTTCATTATCATCAACACCCGTTGCTGCCCCAATCGGCTGTCTGCTCAGAGGATCAGCCATGTTCGTCGAGCCCGCTCGAAATCGAATATCATAGGTGAACCCACTGAGGAGTTCAGCCCATCGAGCTTGACGGCGGGTGAGTGTGGCTTGAGTGGCAAAATAGGTGTTCGGACAGTGGTCGGTCGTGACCACGAAGTCAACACCTTCGAGATAACATCTCCATGTTCGTAGCGCATGCACAACCGCCAACAATTCCTGTTCGGAAGTTGTATAGCGCTGCTCAGCGGGTGAAAGCTTTCTACTCTCAAATGCCACGGGGCGTCCTTCTTGCAAAAGAACTGCTCCAATCCCTACTGTCGAGGCATCAATTACCACCTCGAAGGTCTTGGACGGGTCTGGCAAAGCCAGCACTGGAGCATTGGTCAGCATGGTTTTCACCTCCTCAAATGCCTTCTGGCATTGATCGGTCCACTGCCAAGCATTACCCTTACGAGTGAGGGCAGTCAGTGGAGCGACTACGGAGGAATAATTTTCCAAGAAACGGCGAAAATAATTCGCAAGTCCAAGAAATGATCTGACCTGTCCCACGTCCTGTGGAACGTGCCACTGTTGGACTGCCGCCACTTTCTTTGGATCAACTTTGAGGCCATCGTTGCCTACCAAGTGACCAAGGTATTCCAACTCGCGTTTGTAGAAGTGACACTTCCACAACCGAGCAAAGAATTTATGCTCTCGCAGTTTTCCTAACACCCATTTCAGGTGTTGCGTGTGTTCTTCTTCTGTCTTCGAGTAAACGAGGATGTCATCCAGGTATACTAGGACGAATTGGCCGATTGCCTCCCGAAACACATCATTCATTGCTCGCTGAAATGATGCGGGAGCATTTGTCAAGTCAAAACTTAACACACGCCATTGAAAATGCCCAAACGGCGTTCTGAAAGCCGTTTTTGGAACATCTTCTTCGGTGATTCGTAGCTGATGATACCCCTGAGCTAAGTCCAGTGCACTGAACCACTGAGCTCCTTGGAGCCGATCGAACAAATCTTCTATCCTTGGTAGAGGGTATCGGTTCTTCACCGTGATCTTGTTTAAGGCACGATAATCTACGCACATGCGTAATCCTCCGCCCTTCTTGTTAACGAACAAAATCGGTGCTCCGTAAGGGGATGCACTGGGTTCAATCCATCCTTTTCTGAGGTATTTCTCGATCTGTTGTTTAGCCTCCTCGTACTCAGCTGGACTGAGGCGATACAGAGGTCGAAAGGGTGGAACCTACGAGGTTCAACAGGGATGGTGTGACCCACTGCGCGGTCAGGTGGAAGTCCATCGGGGATGTTTTCAAACACTTCCTTGAATTCCTCTACCAGTATTTGCATTTGAGGAGGGAAATCCTCAATTGCTGGCTCCGAGGCCTCGGCATTCTCAAGCTGCACCACGAACAGTGTATCAGCCGACTTAACAAAATGCCTGAACTGGTTGGCCAACACACACAGCGCGCTTGAACGTTCAGGCGCCTGTGCTTCGGTGAGCAAACTATCATTGACTTGCCACTGGATTGTCTTTCCATTCTTGTTGAACGAGACAGTGTTGTATTGGAAATCCGAAATGACTTCGTTGGCTCGCAACCAATCCATGCCCAGGATGAGGTCGACACCTGACAAAAGTGGTAGGACATACATGCGAACTGTTTCGCTATAGTCCTATACATTCATGTCGATATGTGTCTGTCCTTTACTTGGAATGACACGATCGTCACCCAAGCGGATGGGACATGACGGTCCTACAACGAGGACGTTGCGTGTCGTAACCCAAGTTTCGTCAACAAGGGAAACCGACGCGCCTGTATCGACGAGAATCCTTGCTTCGTCCCCATTCATGCGTCCAGATAACAGTAAATTCTGTTGGAATCTTGGGCGGATGGGGCAAGCAACAACAAGTTTAGGAGGTCGATAGTACACCCTAAATTTGTTGTGAGCACATCCAAACCTTTGGGATGTGGTCCACCAAACATGGTGCCCTTTGTAACATGTTACCAGGATATGCCATTCGTGAAATCGGCGGAATAACTCTCCTTTCACGATTCGAGTCACCAATCCCACTGACGTGAGCGGGTGCTCTTGGACACAACGGTCCACAATATCCATGATGGCTGGCAACTCGTTGAACGAGCAAGAGATGATTGACAATTTATCTCTCAAGGATTCCATTGAGATGTTTTCAAGTGGGTATGATCGAGTTTTAAAGACAGATTTTTCATTTATAGAAGAGGCATACAAACAAGCGATTTTGCATGATGCAAGCTTCTCTAGCTTTAGCAAATCCTCATCATAAAGGACATAAGCCTCATCTACTCGATCTCGCTCACCAACTAGGTACCCACCCCCTAGTTGGACTTCGGAAAATCATTCGGGCCCGAAGGGCCAGAACCATCCGGCTTCTTGCCCTGGTTGGGCTTGCCGGAGTTCTTGACGGACTTCCTCCAACGGCAGTGATAGGACTTGTAGCTGTTAAAGACTAAGGACGAGGTCTACGAAGATTAGGGGCCTAAATATGTCAAAATCGTTGGGCCTAGTTTCTGGACAGAATCGGCGACTTCACAAGAAACGTCGTCGACAAAAATTGCACTGTCAAAACTTCACCAAACTCAGATATGTTGTAGCCCTTGTCAGTGGCTACAATTCCCAATTTGAATCGTACGATAAGGTGAAGTATTTCTTGAGTTATGAATTTCGGCGCACTAGGGGGTATGCTGCCATAGAATTTTAACTCAA